TTACGGGATAATTTTCAAAGCAGCGATTTTGCAAAGACTCAGGAAGAAAACAATTTTGTTTCATTTCCATAACAGAATCCAGACCTCTAAATTCAACCTCACGAGCTACAATTATGCATAAGGACTACCACTGTGAATTTTCAAACACAATGCCTTTTATTGTCTCTTCTCATTCTTTCCCCTTCCTGTTCTCCGAGATTTTCTGTACTGTCACCCTCCACAGAAATTTTGGAGCAGAAAGTCTGACTTGAAAGGAAAACTTTCAAGTTTTCAGGCTTCAAAGGAAAACAACGTCAACCTTCAACACAAGGTATTTGGACGGTATTTGGGGTTTTTTTCAGCCTTACGGGAACAAACAACAACAAAAAGTCTTCTTCTTATATGGAATCTCAACAGATGACAACTAATGTTCAGCTGTTCCATGATGGATGGAGGGGTATTTTAGTCACCTCCTTCAGCAGCCACGTGTGATTGTCCTGGAGCTCAATAAACGAAAGATGCCAAATACTGAAGACCGCAGTTCCCTTGTGCTGCATAACCTGCCGGACATTTCATGCAAGGACAGCAACGAAGCCCAGACACAAATGCAGCGACTTACTATTTACAGGAACTTCCCAAATATTGTCCTTCAATATTTTATTAATATGCTTTTTATTAATACGTCACTATTTTATTAATATGTTTTCCACCTGCACTAGGAGGCGGGCAGCTCTGAAGTACAAATACTGGAGATGAAACACCTACGCAGCACCAGCGGCACGAAAAGCACATCTTGCTTTCTATGTAGAACGCATTTTTTGACGCAAGGGTTGCTTTCAAATGTAGTAACCTCTAAGTCATTAAACATCACTGCCTGGGAAATGAGGTTTCTCCTCCTAAAAGTCAGAGATGAACGCCTATGAATGTCACACACACTTTGGCTCTCCAAAATAGTTTCAAAATCTTCACGCTGCTTTTGAAGAAAGGCACGTGAGGCTGTCGCTGCAACCCCGCACCCCAGGCAGACCCTGTTTATGGGTAACATCTGGTTGCAATTACCCACTTGATGGAATGCAAAGCAACAATTTCTGTTACCAATGGGACTGGGAGAACAAACAGGACATTATTTACACATTAAAGAAAGTACTCACCCCGACACCACCGCAAGGAAGCCTGACAAACATCGACGTTAGAGAACCTGTGGGGGAAAAAAAAAAACAAAAAACAAACCAAAACATGGACCCTATAAGTCAAAAAGTCAAAGTTCACCAGATTTTGGTCCAATTTTTCTCTGAACACAATAACAGACTGGGGTTTTCTTGCAATTTTCAGAAAACACACAGCCAACTCTGTTATATTATAATGCATACATACGCAACGTACACACCTGGGCTTGTTCAAAAGCCTTCCCAACATAAAAACCTTCTATAAATCACTTATTTTTATGCAAGGTTTGTGTGCTGTCCTACATTTCAAGCAGGCATGCTGACTATAAATGATTGAGATGCTACCAACAACCGCTCAGCATGTCTTCTCAGATGAACATTTTAACCCCTTTCAACTGAAGGAGGATAGGAAATCATAAAAACACCCTAATTATCAGTCATCTGCCGTTACTAGAAGACTTTGCAGCAGCATGAGCTTCATCAAAGAGGAAGACAAAAAATAAACTGGTGGCAAGCAAAGAAAACGTGTTTTGACTGAAAGAGCAAAATCAACATTACTAATTCGAGAAAAATGGAGAAAACCATCTGTAGGGCTAATTTTGCATCTGTAAGAATTGTAACATCACTTTCTGGGCTTGCATATGAGCAAATTTTCCTCCATTCAAAATTCTGCAGGTTTATAAACCGTATAGTGAAAAAAGAACATGCTGTCTCATATCCATCACCACGCTATGTGTATATGTGTCCACGCACCACAGGCAAACAGGGAGAAGGACATACGTGAATGCAGACGCTGCAAAAGACCTGGAGTACATTGTCTGACATTCATTTGCTCGAGATCTATTTAAAGTTAATGAAAGCTAACGGTGAAGTAAACTGGGTTGAGTTTTTTCCTCCCCACACCAAACCAGGCTCTTGTTCTGGTCATGTCTGTAATGAAAGAATAAATTCCCTTAAATGCGTACTACCAGCTTTCGAGAGCGTGAATTAGACATGACAGCAGACAGACGTTACTGGGGACCACGCTGGTGTCAGATGCATCGCAGACACATACGTTACCCCTGTGACTGAAAGCGGAGTCAATGCATCTGTATTATGAATCTGAGTGCACAGCCAGATTCACTCTTTGATTAGATCCACATGAAAATTCTTAGATCACCCTGCCTCGGACCTCCTGTCACATCTTTCACTGCTAATCCACGCATTATTTTGATATTTATCTTCTTGACAACAATTTATGATTGCTCTTCACAAATTAAAAGCAGCCTTATTTGCCTAAGTTTAAACTTGTTCAACAGGTTCCAAAGCTTTACACTCTCAAACGAGAGATGGATTCCTATTTTTCATCTTCAGACTCTCAAGGGCTTGAGCAACACTGCCAGGGCTAGAGCACTGCAACCTGCCTTGAAGGCCATCACCTTCAAACCCGCCTGATAAAACACAGCAAAGCAAATCTTTGGGATGCGCAGGGTCCTCTGAGGAACGTAACTTCCACATCAGTGGTGGGCTTCTGTCGCAAGTCTCTTCTACGCGGGTAAAGAAGGGCACTCTCTGAGAAAGGAGTAAGACTCAGAAGTAAGGAGCTACAGGACAACTGTAGAAGTAAAAGCGATCAGCAGAACCACAATGCCGCCTGCTTACAATTCTGAAAAACCTGAACTATTTACCCCCTTCCCGCTTTCTCCTAAAGAACTGCCAGATGACGGGACGTCCCCCTTATCGTTTGCAGAAGCTTAAAAAGAAACATTCCTTGTTTTCATCCTCCAGCTTTACATGCTCTTCCTTTTAGGCTGAGGTTTCTCATGCTTTTTCTTCCTCATAGACATATCAAAGGCAAAGAGTTTACACAGAGTCAGCCACCCAGTCCTACACATGTCAAGACACTCAGGTCTAACAAACTTACATTTGCATACGTGAGCCTCACACAAAGCTTTGGTCTCAGACTTAAAACCTGCCACACATTTACCCTCTAACATACTTAAAAAAACCCCCGCAAAGCTGTTTTGTAAATTTAAAAGCCTTTTCAACTCTCAACAGGAGAGGATGGCTGAAGAAGGGGCTGCTTACAGGCTTCTTCATCTCTACACCCAAATACGCACCCTGAGGTTTTTCAATGAGCTTTTCCTGAGACATCACTGGCTGTTAACCCTTGCTCAGGTCCAGCACCGTGGAAGCCATCAAGTTAAGAAACTGGTTTTAGGACCAGCGCACCCTGAGGTTTTTCAGCGCGGTTTTCCCGAGACATCACTGGCTGCTAACCCTTGCTCAGGTCCAGCACCATGGAAGTCATCAAGTTAAGAAACTGGTTTTAGGACCAGCATCACCCTTCCTACCCTGCTCCCAGAGGAAAACTTCTCCCTGGGTGCCATGCAGACATCCCAGCCAGGCTCACCCCTCTTGTCATTTTGGCTCGCTGCGTTGTCGCTCTGGACCCCGGCTGTCAAGCTGTCAACTGATTTACTCCTGCCTGGCGTGACGACTGGCAGCCACGCTGAAGAATGAAGTTGTTTGTTCTTCCTCCAAGCTTGGTGCTCGGCATGAGTGCCAGTGCCAGCTCTGGCCCATGCACAGCTCCACGTGCAATGGGAGGACAACCGGGCAGTGGGAAGAGAGAGTCCTCTGCTCTCTGGGCAAAGATGGTCATGGGAGCTGGCAGCGAGACCCACTGCTAGCAGCTCAAGACTAAAATGGTGCCAAGTGGGTTTAGGAAGCAAGATCTAAGCTCAGCTAAGAGGAAAGCCCTTCCTACTGGAGATCCTGGGGATCTGACCTTCTGTCTCTGGCTGCAGCTCTTTGACAACTTGGTCTTCTTTGCAAATTACATCCAAAGAGGCAACGTTTTGTACCGGCATTCCCTCAGGTATTAGAATTAGTTTTCTTCACTATAGGAATAAACTTGATCTCTACAGACATTTTAAAATGACTGATTGAAGACATGGGGGACACACAGTAAAACTACAGAAGTACTCACAGGCAGAGCAAGAGTTTCTCCTCCCTCAGGTTCTCTAAACAATCCATCAGGAATGGTTCAGCAAAACCTGGGTACTCCCAGATCCAATACTAACCAAATAAACTGTTTGTATCTCCAAAAGCATCTGTGGAACTATTGATACAGATTGTGTCAAGAGTCAAAGAGGGAGAGGAAAAGTATCTCAAGAGGGTCTGACATTTGAACGGGTACAGTGTTATCACAGTCCACCCTAAAAACGTATCTTGTAAGGGGATTCTCCAAAAGGAGAGGGGTTAGGGTGACCCACTGCCCGCTTAGGCCCTCCACGCAGAAGATGACCACTGCCACAGGCTGGGTGCTAACCCTGCCTGCTCCAGGCTGCTGAAGCCAACGGGTCTGATGCTGGAGGACTGCCTGGATCCCACCGCAGCAGACAGTTAGGACACACGTCCTCCTCGCACCCCATCAGCATGAGGGTTCGAGAATTTGCAGAGAAATCAGTCAGCATGAAAAGTGGTGCAACCGCAAACGAGGAGCCTTCTCAAATCTGCTGGGGAAGATTTACGCACTGTTTCCTTGGAGTGGTGGATACGCCTTACGCAAGGCGAGAGTTTTACACTACCAAGGATATGACATCATAAATTCTTTAAACTTTACATACTAATTGCGCTATCATTCAGCCAGAGGTGTCTACTTTTCGTTTCTCTGGGTTTTAAAGAGGTGGTAAGTTAGCTATAAATACAGTGCTAATTGCATGTTTAAACAACTGGCTAATAGTTTTCCTCTTTGGGGATCTAACGTACATACTGAATACGTTGCAAAATCTTTCCAGCTCTTTTGCTTCAACTACTACATCATACAGGCCATCAAGTTAATCCTCTTTTTATATCATCCAAAGTCAAGCTAATCCCAAAATAAACTTTCTCAACTTCTAGCTTCCAGAACTGTCTTTTTGCTGATCCCCAGGTGAGAACTTCCCAAACTGCCTCTCCAGCCTATCACCTACTGCTGCAAAAAGACACAAAGTAAAGGGAGATGATGATGATGATGTCTCCATGGAGGTAAGGTGCTAAAATGTGGTTTGGTTGCTATGGGGGGGTTGATTATCTGAACAACCATCCCCTGGATTTTTTGCAGGGAAAATGTCTATATTTTACAACAGACGCAGCCCTGTTTCAGGAAGATCCAGTCTCCAGTGAGAGGGATAAACAATCTTACTCCAAATTAAACAAATGTAAGACTATCTAAGAGGCCCCTGCATCTCTCCTGAAGATTATCCATACAAAACCGACAGCTATTTGTTGATGTCAATGCAGCTGGTTGCTGTTGCAGATCCAGGTCCTTAGCAGGGTGTTCCAGTTCCTGCCTAGCAATGGATAACTCCCTAACACGCAGAGAAGTGCGTCCAAGCATAAAATAAAACACCTGAATTACTCTTCCTCCTCAGGGAAACCTCCTTGTAGGCTTTGAAGACATCCAAGAAAGGAAGTTGTAGCTACCTAGGGTTTAGGGATCTACCTGAAGAAAGGGAGATGTAGCTTGTACTGCCCTCAAGCAGACTTTGAACGGAGGCGGGAAGAATTCTCTTGGGAATTGCCTAGGGCTGAGGACGGAGGAAATCCTGCATCTCACTTGTCATACCGTTATGGTTAAGTGACTGCCAGTCAGGGCTGAGGACAGCAGTGTGAGTGCTAGAGGACAGGACAGGGATTCCCCGCACGGGCAACGATACCTAGAAGTTTCTTGCTGTCCAGTTTCTGTCTGTTCAGAGGGTTTGTGCCGTACAGCAGCGTATGGGCTTCCGAGTGAACTGTCTGCAGCTCTTCTAGAGTTGCTTTTCTGCCACGAATGCACTGAAAGACAAAAGAAAAGGAACGATGAAATCACTGATTAACTGCTTAACTCTCATTAAAGAACTCCTCTTTTTCCTTAGCAAATCATAAAAGCAGTGAGCAAAAAACTAAAATGGCTTCTTATGCGGAAAAATTCATTGTAAGACAGATTTTGATTTAATCCCTTATTCGAAATACTAGCTTGACGTACAAAGTCATCTGTAGATTTATCTATGTTTGTTTTAAAAATACTTACCACAGAGCATTTGCTAAATTACACAGGTACTGCTCAACTACTGAATATTCAAGATTTCAGTTATAAGCCATTAGAAAGTGATTCGCTGGTGAAACTATCTCCCTCCAAACCACCCTCCGACATCCCCACCACGATTGTTAAATTAACCTAAAAATTTCTCCCAAACACACCGCTTTCCAAACCGAACCTTTGAGCAATTAAGGATCAGTTACAAAGCTCCTGCTTTAAAACCCATCTTGGAAATCCCACAAGATTCAATCTGTTGCAAACCGTTTTCTTACATGACGATGCAGATTGAGCTGGAAGCACTGTGGCAAACATGCTCATCCCTGTTTTTGTTGCCAGCTGAAACCCAGAAGGGCAGATGCACACTGAGGTCAAAACCCTGGCTTCAGTGAAGATCACGGCAAAGCAGTAGGACCCAGCTTCACATTTTACAAATTGGGGATCTTTTTCCCTGTTTTGTCACAGGGGTCTAGCACAGCTTTGGGGCTTATCTTTCGTTCCTATCACCCATTTGTGATGGAAAATACATTTGTAAGAACAAAGTGCTACTTGGAGATGCTAAATCTTGGGCATACAAGGACCATGCCGTGGGCTCCTGCATGGAAGGGAGCACTCCCCAGCAGGCAGACGGTGCTGGGGGGACATCAGGTATACCAGAGAAGGCAACTGAGTCCCAGTAATGGAAAAAATACCTCCCCTTTTTAACTAGGAGCTTGTGACTACCTCCAAAATGTTGGCAGAGGAAATAGGCAATGAGTCGAGAAAGTGCTGAAGAGTTATTTAGAAATGAGGATTGCTTTGCTTCACAAACATGCATGTACTCCCCTCCCCATCCCCTCAAAAAGGAAAAAAAAAAAAGTATTTTATATGGTTTAGAACTACTTCACAATTCTTTGTCATGATTTGGACTAAAAGACTTTAAAAGGAGTTGTCACTTTGGGGGGTTGTTTCCTACAAAAGGAATGACAGGATTATTCCCCTCTGTAATAGTAATACTAAAATACAAATAGTTAACAGGAAAATGTTGGAAGGCTCTGAAAACCTCTTGTAGAGGTCTTAGGGTCACCCAAACTGCGAGCCTCAGCGAGGAGCATCCCGCTGCACAGCTCCGGCAGGATCGCAGGCACCTCCTGCACAGCCTTCGCCCTGGCTTCGTCAAAGCCAGTTGCTTTTTTAAGACTTTTACATTCCTGGAGAAGCAGAGTCTCCAATGAGAACACCGACAAAAAAAAAGGGTAGTTTAAAGGAAAAAAAAAAAGGGGGGAAAAAAGAAATTACACTCCTAAAAAGAACAAGACTTTCAAATGGAAAACTTGTTCTGAAGAGAAGGTCAAACCGTGCCTCTCGCTCCTGAGAGCTGCTGCCGTTCCGAAAGCGCTGCCGTGGGCTCTGCAGGAGCAAAGCACTCTACTTTGCACTCTACTTTGCAGGAAAGTGCTAGAGACGAGATGCTTCAAAGGGATCGGCACTTCCAGCCAAGCAGTGCCGGATTTTGCACCGCGCCGTCATCTCGGGCTGCAGCCTGGCCCAGCCGCAGCATCCCGGGGGGGAGCGTGCCGGTGGCACGGGGACTCCAGTACCTCTACCTCTGAAATATGGTCCGCAGAACAAACTCGAAGGAATTTTTTTGGTCTCAAACCTTCAACATAAGCCTCTCTCACGTGTTGCAAAGCGCACAGGAAATTACTTTGTAAAACCGTTGGAGGCATAAGGCAGCAGAAATCAAAGCACGGCAGGAGCACTCGTGCACTCCGCCTCTCCTAATTTTGGCATTTCGGCTCTCCAGTTCCTCTTTCATTTTCTCCGCGCTCTGCTCCATCACCTAGGTTTCCTGAGGTTAATGATGAGGCAAAAATACAGCATCCCATTAGAGAGGCAATAATCGCAAAAATGCTAGACCCAGAAGGGATGGAAATATCTGGCAAATCCCCCTTGAACTTTTATCCTCTCTTCCTTTTTTGTTTGCGGTAAGCCTGCCTCAGTCCCCCCCTTACAGGCTTTTACAGCTTCCCCCTAACCCATATGCCAACCCTTTTCCTTTGAACAAGATGTACTGTCCCATTTTCCGCTGCTACATTTAGGGGACGCACAGAAATAGCATTTTCTATTTCTTGGTGTTACGCGAAGACACCAGGAGAACGGCAGCCCGTCGCAATAACGCGCCAGCTTCTCTGTGGATGCGAACGGCTTCAGCTCCCCAGGATGGGGAAGGGCTGCTCCCATTTGAAGTAGGCAGCCCTACCAAGACATCCAAGTCCTGTGCTCTTTAGGAGGGTATCAACACCAGCCCCCACTCCGCCTGACACGTACAACCGAATAGGAACGACGAGTGGATGGAGAGCTTCCTTCTGTGCTGCAAGTAAAACACGTTCAAGGACAAAACTACTACTTACTGAAACAAATATATTACGACAAAAGTCACAGCAAACCCTGCCCGGTTAAGAAAGGATTATGCTTGAGAGGCTTTTGCACCTTTCTCATCTCCCGGCTCATGCGCCACAAGCTTTGTCCTTGGCTTTAACATAAAGACACCAAGAAAATGAATTAAATCCCCCCCCCAATAAAGTTGGAGAACAAAATGTATTCCCCACTCCTGTTTCTGGACCCACCACGACTTGTACCTCGGTCTACGGCTCAGCCTGCCGCCCACACTCCTAGTTTGAGCAGTTCCTTGCTTTCTAAAAGCTCTTAAGTCCTGATACTCTTATCTTTGAAGCTTCACATCGACTATTGAACTTGCTGACCCTCCTCTCGCCTAACCTCCTTCCTGGCTGCTAAACCCCGGCTTTTCAGCTCAGGAATTGGCTTCTTAACCCCAAAGAACTAGTTTGGTTGTTTACCCCCCATCCTTATGCCTCTTTCTGCACAAAACCTGACCTTCGAATCACCACACCACTTCTCCTCTCCCACTGCTTTATACACATCCCTCTGCACTCTTCATCCACTTCCTTGGAGCCGGTTTTTCCTTTGCATTTTGAACAAAAGAAAAACCTCACTAGTCTCTTAGTTTGCATTTTATTCATCCTTTCACCCCATGACGCTTCGATAGGAGGGGATGTGAATCTTGAGCGACTGCGAGCAACATCTTGTTCCAGCTGTGGCCCCTAAAAAAGCCACAAAAAGAGCTACGAAGCTTCTCTCCAGAGACCAACTTCCCAGGCACAACTGCCACCACCTCCCACATGCCCGTGGTGCTTTGCAATGGGAAAACCCTGGGTGTGGAGTCACTTTCCAGAGGCTTCACCGCCCGGATCCATCCTGCCCTCCAACCGGACACCTGCCCGACGCTGTGCCAGGAACGCCGCGGACATGGCTCTGCTCTTACAGACAGCCCAGTCTTGGGTTTGGTTTGAATGCAATGAATCTTCGGCGAACAGTCCTCACCCTTTAAACAACGCAGTTTTGTTGCCAAGGCGTGCTTGGAGATGGACCCTGGTTGAGGAACTCATTCTTCCCCATCCTGGTTGAGCAGTCTGGGGATTTGATTACCTCCAAAAAACACAGCAAAACCCATCGATGCTTTCATGTTCTTGATGAAGGCTGGGAGGATTACGCTATACTGTGATTGAGGGTTTTCGTTTGGGGGGGTAGAGTCTTTTATTGAGATTGCCTCAATTAGGATAACTGTTGCTTTTAAATTCTGAACATACACTAGAGTAATTGCCGTATTTTATAAAGCTAACTTAATTAAACAAGTAATATTCTAAACTGCAGCTGTCGTTAAGTCTGGACAACTGTTTTCATTCCAAAGGGTCATCTTTAAACTTGTGCGACTCTGCCAGAACTCTTACCTATCACCCCACAAATCTGGCGCACATTTTCCCCTCAGCTGGACACAAAGCAGTTTTTGGACAACTTTAGCAAATACATATCTGTTTCACTGCTGAAAAATGAGAGGCGGGGGGAGAAGCGATGTGGTTTTTTTCTGTTCTAAAAATATTTGTGCCCCTTCTGGATCACCTCTATTGCCTCCGAGAGAAATGGTAGTAACTCAGCACTTGGCAGGTTGTCTAGGAGCCTCTCGGCTGTCTGACGAAAACAGGTTTTCACTTAGTTCGTTTCAGAAATTTCCAAGCAAGCATTTGTTTGCATGCACGATAAAAATATTTATCTGCAAGCCCTTTTCTGGCTTGGGGCATATGTGCAACCGAAATACCAAAAGAACATTTCCAGGAGACAGACACCGAGAATTGTTTGAGCTTGCATGAGAAAGCAGAGTTGGGATTTATTTTCAGCGTGCAGTCGTGGGGGGAACGAGAGCTGTTAAACTCCTTCTGAAAGAGGACAGGGATCCAGCGGACTCTCGTCTGATCCCACACAGTGTGTACGGGATTATTTACTATGCAGGGCATTGCGTTTTTAATCTGTGTCGACCAACTACTTGCAACCAAAAGAATCAAACTATACCCACACCCGGACCACAGCAAAGGGCTGCTAAGGAAGGAAGGGGACACGCGAGGATAAGGAAACGTCAAAGTTCAAACTGTCCTTTTACAAATACGAGTTGTAAGAAATGGATTAAACTACATAATCACAAACAATTTTCACATCAGGCCCTTGGGCTTACTTAACTGGCTCATAACGTCTGAGGCACAGGACAACAGACCTGCAACGGTGAAGATAAAAGCAAGCGTGCACAGATGTGTCTGTCAGCAAGACGGGCTAGAAAAAATAATGTAGAATAAAACAGGACCTCAGCAAAAAATTAAGGGTACAGCCTGGCAAATTTCTGAGTGCCATAATCCAGGTGTTGTTGCTGACTTGTTCTCGATCCACTACTAATTCTGAAAATATTCACCTCTTTCCGAGTGCCTGTAGGGCTGCTACGCAGATGGAGCAGCTATAATCCATAAAAAAATTGTAGATACATAGCAGGCTGCATTGGTAGTTAAGTGTCACCGTCCTCACGTGAAGAGCTCTGTTAAAGTTCACACATCACACGCACGCTACTGTGGGGGAAGATAGAGGGCACAGCTCATGCTGTCCTGCATGGAGCTTCGGCACAGGCAACAGGGATTTTTGAAAAAGTAACATAATTACTAGAAGCAATGACAATTATTAGGTCAGACTTCAAAATTCCTTTCAAATCCATCATACAATGGAATGTGTGTCACAGAATGAAGTTTTCTACACGTTAAGCCTACGGCATTCCAGTCTTTGCGGAAAGGAGACAAGTCCATCATCCCAGGCAACGCCAACAGCTCACACCCTTGCTCCAACCTAGCAGCAGAGATCACCCGTGTCTAAAAGCTGTCCCCTTGCCAAGTCAAAGCACCTGATGTGGAGGCAATCTTCACTGAAGGAAAATCTATATGGTCCTCTACTCTGCTCGCTGATAGATAGGTTCCAACTGAGGAGCTTCAGAAAGACCCTGAAGGGCAGGGAAGTGACCAAATGGCTTTGCAACGTGGAAAAGACTTACATCGGTTAAGGAGAGCGGAAAGCGAGTGAGTGGCTCCAGAAAAAACCCTATCAAGAACAGAAGAGTGAAGTGCGGAGGTAGGAAGGAGATGGAGAAACAGGGAAAGGTCGTGCCCATCGAGCCCATGAGACAAGTTAAGATAAAGAAGGAAACTTTAACGCAGGTCTTGGCAGGAGTAGGAGATGGCGGGGATGAAGGAAAGCTAACTAGAGAGAGAAGCAAGTGCAATTACAGCAGCTGGTTATCCTGAAATGGCAGGTCAGACCTCGAAGAAAGCCATCAGAGAAGAAAACATTGGAATTAAGGCAGAAAGTTAACATCACATATTGATCGTTTTCTGAAAAAGGAAGAGTCAAGATGAAGCTGAATGCCACCAACGGTCAGAAGGGAAACCTAGGTGGAACAGCTGGTGAATATGAAGAACTCCAATTGCAAAAGCAGCTGACAATACCAAATTAAGGAAAATAGCAGTTGCCTTGGATCATATAGTGAAGAACTTACACATTACAGAACATCTGTAAGGCAAATTTAGGAGACAAGGTAATTAGCACTGCACAATTTAACTCCTGCTTCTAAACAGAGGAGCTAGACAGCAGTGGGGCACGACTTATTTTTTTTTTTGGGCCCAAATAATAATCCCAAAATTCAATTAGATGGGTCTCCAGAGATAGAAACAGGTTTGAAGTTCGTCCTTGCTCTTTTCAGGGATAAATAAGGGTACGACGGAGAACTGTAGCCAATGGCAATGCTGCCACCACGTGGACGTCTTTTAAGAATTGATGAACACACGCCACCATTAATTTATCATCACTGTTACTAGTTATGAATAATAATTATTATTAATCACTATTATTAATCATTAGTCTTTGTATTTTACTATCTAAGCTTTTCTCTTAGTTTGCACTGCTCTTAAAATATGTACGCCCAATAACGTCAATTTAACCTCTTGTGATGGCATAGTGCTTAGTTACGTCCTCCTACCCTCACTCTTTTCACAATATCTTCACTACAGGTTGACCATTACTTATCACAGAGTATTAAAAAAGTTATTAAACCATAGAAATACAAACTTGCTGCTCCACAGTTTTTGTTGTTATGATTGGAGTGATAGTAAATAACACGGTTACTTCATATCTTGCTCTTATCTTTGGCTGCTTCAAAATCCAACGCTTGGTAGGGACTTCAGTTTACAGGGAATAGGACCAAAAATTACAAAAGCAGCTTCACCGCAACATCGGGCAAGAGCATTCTCCAACATTTCATGAAACTTCTAACAGTCATTGCAATGCCATGAAATCAGACCGCTAGAAAAGCACTCCTGACAGACGCACACACACAAACATAAGCAGCCACCTAGGAACGGATTAAATTTAGGCTACATATGGCAAAACATTGCCAACAGCTGGAGCTATAAAAATGTGAAGCCAGAAGGCAGCATAAAGTTTGCACGTCCAGGTAGCAGTCAACAGCCCGAGTTGCAGGTTCGGTACGTACGTTATCATCCAGATCAGAAATCAGCCTCCCGCCCCCCCCAAATGCTCATAATCCAACAGTCAAATCAGCCAGACAAATCCAAATTCTCCCTTTCTCCCAGGCCCACCACCTCATCTTCTCCTTCGCTGCTATTTTTATTACCTCACACTTGCCACGGAGACCCGTCTCTTGAAGCCGGGACCAGATGCTCTGGATCCTCCCCGCGTGTTCTGGGTGGCTGTTTGTGTTTCCACAGGTACACTGGTGTTTCAGCATCAAGGTGTCATACACAAGGCCTGCGGCAGAAGTTACAAAATTGCTCTCAGTTAAAAAAAAAAAGAAAGAAAAAAAAAATTTGCCAGATATATGGAAAAAACATTTTTTTTTTTTTTTTTTTTA